AGAAAAGGATGAGATATTAAGCAACCTTGATCCTCAGCATTTGCATTTAACAGAGTAAAGGAAAGGATCATGGGAAGAGAGCTTTTATGGAAAGGAAAGAGTGATGGCTTGGACTTGTCACAGGAGACTCTGTCTTATCTGGTTTGAACTGCACTAAACAAAAACCTTCACTGCCTTGAAAACAGAAGACAACCATAAAGTATTTTTGCTAAAGAGCCATATTCATACAGTGCTATGAGTTTTTTCAAGGACACACTGAAGAAAACAGCAATGTGTAGAAACTTCATAAAAACTGAAAAGTCACAGCGTTGTGAGATTTCCCAGTGTGAACATGGAGATTCAGTGAGGTGGAGCAGACAGCAAATATAAAAATGGTGATCAATATCTTACACTACTCCTGGAAAACGTAGAACCCTAAAAAATAATCTATTCAATAATAAACACCTATTTCATGTGCTTTACTGTATTATTTGAAACACAGGGGCGAGGATTTAGCTCAGTGGCATAAGCACCTGTCTTGTAAGTGTGTGGTCGTGAGTTCGATCCCTGGTACCAGTAAACAAACAAACAAACAAAAGAAATTTTATCCCTGGTACCGGTTTAAAAAAAAAAAAAGTTAAAAGAAAACACAGAATAACTTTGCCTTTTTTTGGTTCCACAAGTTGTGTGACTTTCCATATCTCAAAAAGTAGCTTTGTCACTTTTATCTTTGGAAAAGAATCTATAAAGAGAAAATACGTGCTAAGATATTGTGGATATGGTACATTTTTTATTCATTTTGTATAAGACATTTTACTAATTCTATTTTACCATAAATTTGGAGTATCAATGGCTACCTTATTTTCCAAACTTTCAGTATTCCCAATATTCCAATTAACTAAATATTGACTTCCCATGCTGGCTGTAGGTCTTCAAGGAGGTACACATTGGACAGGAGCTGGACTGGTCAGTTAGAGCTTCAAGGAGAAAGGGTAGACCCAGACAAATGGGAAGAACTATGAACAACTTTCAGAAACTAATCATTCATTCATTCAATCAGTATTTGACATCCTATTTGCTGGGTCAACTCTAAAAACTCATAGCACTGTATGATTATGGCTAGTCAGCAAAAAGATACTTTATGGTTGTCTTCTGTCTTCAACGCAGTGAAGGTTTTTGCTTAGTGTAATCCCAACCAGATAAGACAGAGTCTCCTATGACAAGTCCAGTTCAGAATCTCTGCCCTAAAGATGTTTATATGCTGATGCAGAACAATATGCATGTAGGAAATCTTACTTTATATTTCCAATTGGTGATAATTGCTCTGGAGAAAAATAAAACAGGGTGAGGGCATGGAGTATGATGTGAGCCAGGGGACATTTACAATGGACTGCAGTGGTAAAGGGCAGAAGCTAGGAAACCATCAGGATGTCACGTGCAGTGCCCTGGGTGAAGGGTGACAGTGGCCTGCCCTGAAGCCGTAAGAGCAGAAACGATGAAAAGCGACTAGGAACAGGGTTTCTTGCAAAGAGCTGATAGGATTTCCTGATGGATTACACAGGAGGGTTAAGAAAGACAGGAATAAAGAATACTCCAAGGTTTATCACCTGAGCAACTGAGTGAACTGTGGTATATTTTACTAATATAAGAAACCCTGAAGGAGTATGACATTTGGGTAAAAGAATAAAGAAATTTTTTTGCCATATTAAGATCAGAATACCTAGTAGGCATCTAAGTAGGGCTCTGTGTTTCGGAACTGTTTACCTTGATCAAGAATTTAAAGGAACTTTTAGATTTGGAAACATAAAATTAGGAGTAGCACAGTGGTCGTGACATTTAGCACATACTTGCATCCAGTGGAAGAATGTTTATATTCTTTCTCCACAGAACACTAACTCAACCTCACAAAAGGAGTCCAGAACAGATACTGTAGAAAATTATCTTTATGGAATCTAATTTTCATTAAATATTTATTTATATTTGTGGAGAAAAAGTGAGTGAGGCTGTCCTGTCTATTCAGAGATTATACACATGACAAAAACAGCATTGAGTTTTATTAGGAATGCAAACTGCTGTGCTCAAGTGGTCCAAAGTAAGGGCAAACAAGACTGATACTAGGATCACCATCACTAAGCCAAGAAGTGAATCCTGCCCACACTGGGTCTGTGTAAGGAGGTAACCAGATTCCGCCAAGAGTCTCCCAGACAAACAGGAAGGCTGTTTCTCATCACCATGGCTACAAAATCCTCAGGGCCTCAAGAAGGGCCTTGGCTTTTCAGGAATAGTCCAAGAGGATGCTTTGTTTTCAAGTCTCACAAATCAAATCAGGAGAGAAAACATAACATAAAAATATAAGATGTACTAGATGAGATGCAAACACATCATGAGCTAGGAGAAGGGAAAGAGTCAGGCACATCAAAAATCACTGATACTGACTTTAAAACAAAAGCTACTCCTACAGTTGTTAAACTGTGCCTAAACATAGACACAATGAAAATAAAGTAGTTAAATGTTCTTGGATTGGATTGTGTGTGTGCATGTGTGTATAATCCACATGCAGCAATATTATGACAAAGGACATAGTTGTATATGAGTGTAATTCAGTTCCAACACACACAACTTTCTTTTTCACACACACACTCACACCTATGTCCCATGTTCTATGTCCCAGAATATAATGCTAAGTGCTTTTTGAAACTGATAATATGAATTCAACATACAGACAGTGGCCATGGGAACTGTTTTAGACTGATGGCATAATCCATTCAGGCTGCTATAAAACACACCTTCGATGGGATAATTTGCAAATAACAGCAATTCATAGCTCACAGTTCTAGAGATAAGGAAGTGCAAGGTCTGGACACCAGCAGGCACTGTCTGGGAGAGCTCACTCCCAGTTTCGTGATGACACTTTCTTGCTACATCTTTACATGGCAAAGGGGCAAGCAAGCCTCCTCAGGTCCTTTTTAGAGAGCATCAACCCCTTCCCTGAGATCATCTCTTATAACCCTCACCTCTCAATCCCGCTGGGGAGTATGTCTCAACATCTACATTTTGAGGGAAACATAAACATTCAGACCATAGCAACAGATTCTTGTGAATGATAACCAAGCCCATCATGTCTGTAATTGGGCTCATTTTCCCATTTCCAAAATAGTGATAATAACACTTGCCCTGTTGACCAACATGCTTAAATTCATCAAATTGAAGTAATAATTAATGGACCCATAATAATACTAGAAATACTAGAGCCTTAAAATACATAGTAAGCGTATTTTTAAATAAAAATATCTACCATTTCCAGAGTATCTACACATCTATACAAGACTGACAGTCTTCTGTTAGCTCACGTGAGTGCATGAGGACCACATGTAGCACTGTTGTTTTACAAATGACAAAGCTGGGGCTCTGACAGCCCCAGGTAAGAGGCTGACTCCAAGTGACTCAGCTCATGGTTACAGATGTGGTACAAGGATAGACCCATTAGATTACATAGTCATAGTCTTTGTACATATGTATCAGCAATGAAACATTTCTAGTTACTTTTACTAATTCCATTTTAAGACATTGTGTTTTGTGGTTCTGAAGATGATCCCTAATGGCTACGCTCCAGCTCTGCTATCACTTCCCCTCTGGAAAGCAATTTGTTTCTCCATTTCCACTTTCACACTTAATCCTCAGAACACTGAGAAAGTGACACTTTAAACTGAAACACAAGCATGTTAAGTGTTTTTCATGAAGACACAAACAAGGGGCCACGTTTTAAGCAGGAATCATCTTACTCCAAGCCCAACACCTCAATACACAGGTGAAAACTGACTTAAGACTGTAGGTTTGCTAAACAAAAGATTGGGGGGGAGGAGTAAAATTTTCAAATAGATTTTTAAATAACTATGAAAGGATATTCAGCCTCTTCCCGCTATTCATCCACCAAAACAAACCACATTAATTACTGTGTACCTTCTCGATCTTTTAAAAGTGCTTATAAGATGTCTTAAATTTTATATGATTTTTAAATTTTTCATTGTTCTAAAATATTACAATTCCTATTTGAAATTAGAGTTATCTCTATCCTCATCTCAGGTGATGATAAGGATCTGAATACTTTAAAATGCAGAAGAATGTATATAGTGCCATGTTTAAAACAAGGGAAATAATTTCATTTAGTAAATACTTATGCAGCACCTGCTATGCACCAGGTATTCTTGTGCACCTGCTGGGGCCCAGCAATGAACAAAACAGACAATAGTCCCACACTTAGGCTTCCACAGTTTGCCAGCCACCCGCAATTATCATAACACTTCTAACATACGTACCTGATATTGTAATATATAGTTCATTGCTTTAATAATTGCATAATATTCTAGGTTATGCGTACGGGAGAACCCAACCATTTCTTTAAAGGCTCGTGATGCATTCTGCTTAATTTTTATTTTTGCAGCCGGTATTGCAATAAGCATCAGTGTTATGTACACATTAGAGATAGAAGAGGGGAGATATTATTTCTAAAGAAAATCAACGTAGAATAAACACTGAGACTCTTCTTCCCTGGGTCGAGCTGAAGCCGCGCCTCCTTTCTTCCCAGGTGTGCCCGCCGGCTCTGGTACTATCCACCTGGGTGGTGCTGAAGCAGAACCTTGGTCGGCGCCCTCCCAGCCCCAACACACTCAGCGTCTGTCTCTTTGCCTCCCCAAATCACTAGCGGATAAGCAACTTCTACCATAAACACTCTCAAATCATGCTTATAACGCACATCTAAACTGTGTGGTGTCGCGTGTGGCTGCTCAGGAGTCCCTGATCTGTCCTCCTTGGCCATGTCACCGGCTCTGCCTTAGGCACGAGTCAGTTGCCTTTTACAGGGTTAAAGCCCCATCATCCTTCGAGATCTGTGTAAATATATGTGAATCATTGCACCGTGTCATTCTTGATTCAAGAAGTGTGTCAAGCTACACACCCGCAAAAAAGCGCAGCTCCTGGAACAGGAGTGGGTTTCTCCCTCCCTGCGATCCGGGGTGCAGCTCGCAGCCCCCCTGAGCGGGAATCACGGCTTCGCCCTGGCGCACCCCCTAAGCTCCGGAAGGGCTCCCATTTCCTGAAATGTGGATCCCTAGCGGTTTCGCACCGCTTCCCGTTTTCCCCTCCCCGCTCGGCTCCTCCGCCCGGCCGGGCCCACTGCCGGCTGCAGAACCCCCGTCCTCGGGGTGACCCGGGCGAAGGCCAGCTCCGGAGGGTCTCGCTCGGGGCGCAGCGGCGGCTCGGCCCGGGGCTCCCGGCCCCTCTCCCGCCCGCCGGCCCGCCTGTCCGAGGAGGAGCCTAAGCTGCGCCTCCGGATTTGGGGGGGACGCGGCGCCCGGCAGGATTAACCCCCTCGCGCCCGGCTGCGCGTCCGGCGCGGCCCCGGAAGGGCGATGGCACAGCTGGTGGCCCCGCAGCTGTCTCCGGAGTCCGCCCTGCTGCCGAGAGCTGCGGGGGGCTGCAGCCTCCCGGGCTGCCGCACGGAAGCCTCCGAGGCCGGCGGCGATCGCTGCTAGCGCCCGCCTCCCCTCCGCCGCCTGCCGGTCCCTCCCGCGCGTCCTCTCCGCCCACCGCGCCCGGCCGATCGCCCCGCGCCCGAGCTGCCCTGCGCCCCGGAGCCGCCGCGCCGGCCCCTCGCCCAGCCATGGGGGACCTGCCGGGCCTCGTGCGCCTCTCCATCGCGCTGCGCATCCAGCCCAACGACGGCCCGGTCTTCTACAAGGTGGACGGGCAGCGCTTCGGCCAGAACCGCACCATCAAGCTGCTCACCGGCTCCTCCTACAAGGTGGAGGTGAAGATTAAGCCCACCACGCTGCAGGTCGAGTGAGTCCCGGGCGCGCCGCGGCTGCTGGGTGGCCAGGGGGACACGGCCGGGCCCGGGCCAGCTGAGCGTCTCCGGGCCGGTCCAGCCTCGCACCGCGCCCAGCGGGCCAGGGAGTGGGGGCCGAGCGCGCAGTCCCGCTGGGTCCTCTCCTGTGTCTTATGCTTGTGTAACTCAGCTCCCCCTTTCCTCTACCTCGCAGTGACTTTGGTGAACCCCTTTAAATCAGCTACTCGAAGCGGGAGGGGGAGGGGCTCTCGGAAACGCAGATGCTTGGGGTGGGGTAGGGGGACAAGGTCGCCCCAGGGCTCACCCACCCGCAGTGCCAGCCCCTCTCTGACCTGTCCTGGCGCCCCCCGTCGTTCCCACCAGCTTCTACCTACAAGACTGAAGGCTGAAATAAGGCTGAAGAATGAAATGTAAAGGTGGGGGGATGGGTGGCTTGGGGGCTCCCTGAAGGATGTCCCCACTCTTCCTTCAGCCCTCTGGAAGTGGGGGGCCTCAGGCTGCAGCTGCGGGCACAAGCCAAAGGGCCTGGCCTCAGCTCAGGCCTAGTTTTGTGGTTTTTTGGTCTCCTCTGTTTTTCTTTTTCACCCGGGTTGTCTGTTCAGTCTGGTGATGATGTGGCCTGGGATTAACATCATCCTTGAACACAAGAGGCCGTTTTGGGTTTACTAGTGGCAGGGATTACCTCTTCCCAGCTACCAGGAAGTGATGCAGCCAGTAAACCTCGGGCAGGAAAGTCAGAACAGAACAGTGCAGGAGCCTGGGTAGGGGGAAGAATGTACTACCTGGTCTGTAAGGAGAAAAGCCAACGTTTGTGGCATTTACCATTTACTGTGGGAGGAGAGCACTTTGAACCTATTAGACACTTTCATGGTTTGCTTTACTTTGGCGAACTTGTAGTGCAAGGACCCAGAAACACACTTGGAGGGTTCCTGCTGCTTCGGTCCATCTACCTGGTAGAACCCCAAGTCCAAGCAGCCGTTACCCTCACATCACCCAGTGTTACCAGCATGCATATGTATTCTAAGAGTTTTCTTTCTCTTGTTTGCTGGCAGCCTCTTCCCTGACCCATCTGTTCTATATTCCATTTCCTTCAAGGGAGTTCTCTAAATTTCAAGCTAGCCTAAACAGATTTAATGACAAAGATTTTTTTTTTCCCAGTTACACTTTAGTTATATCAAGAATTTCATTATAAAAATAATTTAAAGAGCAAAATAATAGGTAACGGGAAGTAGGGAGATAAAACTTTTTTGCAAATGGGCCAGGAATCTAGGGATGGAAAGAGGGGTGAGGAAGGGGAAGTGAAGAGAATTAAGATGTGTTATGTTTATGTGGCAACTCCCCAAGGTCAATGTATTCGTTATCATAAATGTGCACTGGTAAGTAAGAAAAGGATCTCTCAATGCCCCAGTCCAGTGATTTTCAGACCTTAGTGTATGTAGAATCAACCTGAAGGACTTAAGACATAGATGACAGGGGTCTTCCTTGGAGTTTTTAATTTTCTGTGCCTAGCATGAGGCCAAAGGTTTGGGTCCTGATAGGCAAGACTGATACCACTGGTCCAGGGCCTTTGCATTGAGAACAACCATCCTAACCGAGGAATGATGCCAGCGAGAATTTCTGGCGATGTGACAGACTTGAAAAAGAGAACCATCAAATCATAGAATCCTTAATTGTTGCAACAGAGAAAAAAAAACCAGTATTAGAGAGCTAATCACTGGTTCTTGACCTTACCGGCACATAAGAATTACCTAGATGCATTTAAAATAAGCTTAGTAGCTCGAAACTACATCCCAGACCAATGAATCCTAGTCTCTGGGGTTTGAGATGGCGCTGGGTATAGGTAGATTTTAATAGCTCCACAGATGATTTTGCTGAGCAGCTAAAGGGCGGGAACACTGATCACGCCTAACTCAACCTCGTATAGGTATTCTGGATGAGAACACTGAGCTCAGGCCAAAGAGAAGGAGTTGGTGTGGTCACGTGACTGGTTAGTTGTAGAACTCTGTCCTTGTGAACTTTCAGAACTTTCTATCATACCACAATGTCTCCCTTAGGAAAAACCCTGTAGGTTTCCAGTCTAGGAGAGACTTTGGTCCAGACTAGGAGAGGGCACCCAAGCTAATCTCTACCAGATATAGTCAACTAAAGTCCATTTGCAGGAACATTTCCATTGGCGGTGTGCTCGTCCCACTGGAGCTGAAGTGTAAAGAACCTGATGGAGACAGAGTGGTGTACACGGGCACATATGACACAGAAGGTGTGGCCCCAACTAAAAGCGGAGAGCGACAACCCATCCAGATCACCATGCCGGTAAGGCTGGGCTGGGGGCTTGGGAGTGTGTTTCAGGGCAAATGGAAACCATGGGAGGAAAAGCAGCACATCTGTAAGGAGAGGTGTGTTGGAATCAATTGCTGTGGAAGTCAGATGTATCATCCATCATGGATTTCAGTTGGAGTTACTTCCTGCTGGAGAAATAACTATGTAATTAATGTTCTTTTGTAGGACAGACACAATAGAGGCTTAAAGTCACCACACAAATGATTTGGAAGAGGGTACCTACATTGCCATTTTCCCTTTTATGTCCTACATCAGAACCAATTTAAATAATTGACCCTTCAAAGTCTCTAATCCAAGTAGCCCACAGTATTTCAGTTTTGAAAAAAGTTGGTCTGTTGAGTAACATATTGCTACTTGCATCTACTCTACATGGAGGGACATTGAAAAGTGACTGCCATGGAAAATAATAACCCCTTGGTGGCAAGTGCTACTGAGATGAAATACAGCCATCCTTGGGTACCCACAGGGGACTGGCTCTGAGAGCCCTGCAGATGCCAAAACTCCACAGATATTTAAAGCCTTTATAGGAAGTGGCCTGGTGTTTACATATAACCTATGTTCGTCTCCAGTGTACTTTAAACCATCTCTAGAGTATGATACCTAATAAAATACAAATGACATTATTACCAGAAGCAGAGTTAAGTTTGCAATACATCTTGATTCTTTGTACCTTTGATGAATGATCCCAGACAGTGTGCATAGACTGTCGTGTAGAGCACAGGTAGAGATTTTTGTAAAATGATAAATTTTCAGACACAGAGAAAATAAACCTTCAAACATGAGGGCAGGCGAGCACCAAAGTGGCAGTTGTACTAAATGAGGCCTCAGGTTAGATTTAGGTGAGTTTTTGTTTGGTTGGTTTTTGAAACAGGATCTTACTATATGGTTCAGGCTGGCCTTGAACTCACAGTGACCTTCAGCTGTCCTCCTGCCTCAGCCTTCCAAGTGCTGGCTTTACAGGAGTGGACCACCAAGCCTGGCCATTTATGTGATTAACAGGGTCTTTGAAGGAATAACATTCCTTCCTCCAAAGTCATTGTTCTGGTAGAAATAAAATGGGTTGTGTTTACCTATTGAAAGGGCAGGAGGTCCCTGTTCACTACTCTGTTGATCCTGAGTTTTCTAAACCTTCACTCCTGATCTGGACTTCATATGGGCCCTAGATCTTATCAGCACACTTAAAGGATGTTATATTCCCTGAACTTAAAACCACATGATTGTATGGAATCTTGTCTATCTATAGTTAAGGATTTAAGAAAGGATAGGGGAAAGAAAGAAAAATCATGTCATCTTGACTTATCACTTACCCCCAGCCACCTGTCCCCAGGGCTGCGAATGACTAGCTTTCTGCCTAACAGTGTGTGAATAGTTGTTATTCTCCACTAGCTAGGAAACAATGACAAGGTCAATGTCTATACATTTCAGTACAGACAGTTTTTATTACCACGTGAGTTCAATCCATAGTCAGATGTCCATTGATGCAGATTGTCCACTGATACAGAGGGCCACACAGAGGGCAATCTGCACGTTAAGAGACAATATTTATAGCAAAGGAATATCGATGAAGCAAAAACAAATTGATAAAAGGTTAAGTAGGGTTAATTGTATATACATATACAAGAGAAGTACTCTTGCCAAAACACAGAAAGAGTAGAATTCACCTACATTGCTGCTATAAAAACTAAATAGCAGTGAGGCATGGTGATGCACATCTGTAATCCCAGCACTCAGAAGGCTGAGACAGAAGGATCCCCATGAGTTTGAGGCCAGCCTATGCTACCTAGGAGACCATCTCAGTAACACCAGCAGCAGCAACAACAAACTGAATAGCTTTTTCTCTCTGCATGAACAACCTTGAAGCCAGCCACCGTGCTGATGCACACCTGAATTCCACCTACTCTGGTGGCTGAGACAGGAGGATCACAGAGTTGAGGTCAGCTTGGGCAACTTACTGACCCCTGTCTCAAAAATGAAAAGACCTCACTGGTAGAGTGCTTGCCTAGCAAGACCCACTTCTCCTCAGCGCCAAAGCAAACACACCAACAAAACCATTTGAATTTGGTCTGCCCTCCAGGTTTGTAGGGAAGTTCATGGATGTTCACAAATACCACAAGCAGAAGAATTTATTTAGATTGCCAGTCTTAGGTTCCACCTCCAATGATTTTAGGAAAGTTAAAAAATGGAGCCAAAGACACCGGATTACCAGAGAATTAGTCCTGAAGAAGATGGTGTGTGGAATAAACTTTGCAATCTATAGCCTAATCTTTCCAGTCCCTGAAAATTGTAAGATTTCCAAGATGTAGAGGGAAGAAAGACGAAAAAGTAAAAAGAATTAAGATGTGTTATGTGCATATGCCAGCTCCCCACAATGCCCATAATCATTATAGACCGCAAATATGTACTAATAAAAATTTTAAACATTTAAAAAACCAAAACCTTGTGCAGTACCTGCTGGCAAGTGCAAGGTCCTGAGTTCAATTCCTGGTATTAAAAAAACAAAAAGAAAATCTTAGGTTTTCACGGTACTCACTATACTTAAAACAACCGCAACAGTAGCATATGAAAAGAATCTAGTATCACATCCTTGCATCCTCTATTTGAACTATTTTTGTAAAGAATTGCATTTTCCATCAGAGGTTGTTAAATAAGGTGGAAAAATACAAAATGGGAGAAATATACAATTCTTCCAGGAGGTAACTGTTATCATGTTATCATTTTGGTCTTAGAGAGTTATTTGTGCTGTCTTTTCTACTTATACTTTTTTCTACTTCTGTACATGTATCGACATCAAATGTACTCCAGTTTGTAAATATAGTATATTTTGAAATCTATGTGAGTACCATACTATATGAACGTACCAAACTACCCTCAGTCACCTGTTCCTGATTATTCTCAATATTATAAAAAAAAAAAAAAAAAAAAACTACGTTAAATTCACTCACTTCAGCAAAATTGGCATAAATTTCCTTAAGAAATGTGTATGGTAAAGCACTTTATAAGTGTTGCCATCTAAGAAAGCTAGGCAATTTATGCTCATATCATCTGTATTTAAGTATCCATATCCCTATACATTTGGTGTAAGAAAATGCTTTATAATAGCTTTAATCTCTCGGGCAGAATATTTTAATTTTTATATCTTTAGTGGCTGTTAATTTGAAATATTCATATTTTCACTTACTATTTGTGTTTCCTTTGTGGATTAATGTCCTTTGCTTTTATGCCGTGTCTTAACGGATTTTAAAAATTAAATTAAAAGCCAGGTGTGGCAGCACACTCCTGTAATCCCACACTTGGGAGACTGAAGCAGGAGGATCATTGCAAGTTCGAGGCCAGCCAGGCTACAAAGTGAGCCCAAGGCCAACCTGAACTGTATAGTGAGACCCTGTCTCAAAAACACCAAAAAACTAATTAACTAATTAATTAAAAATAGTCATCTAGGGGATTTAGCTCAGTGCACGAGGTCATGAGTTCAGTCCCCGGTAACGACATAAATAAATAAATAGTCATCTATTTTATTGCATGTTGAGTATACTCATCCTTTGTCATTCGCATTTTAACTTTGTTTACAATATCAATTTTTAAGTTTTTGTGCAGTCCAACACAGCACTTTGTTGTGTTTTTGGCACTTAGGATCCATCCAGCTTAGAAAGTTCCCTAACACATCATATACACAGCTGTACTTGTGTGTTCTCATCTGAACATGAATTTGTTAGATTTTAGATGAAGTAGATTTAAATTTTTTTTATTTTATAGTTTTCTATTAGACTGTATTTGTTTATAATGTTCTAAAGTAGTTTTTCAAGTAATCTATTCTTCAGTGTTCATTTTCACAGTAATTTCTTATATGGAAAAAATTAAATATAGTTATCTGTTATCTAATTAAGTTCATTGATTCTTATGCCAATTGTTATGCCAGTTTTGAATTATTTTAAATACATTTAAATGATATATATTCATATATTTCTAGCTGACCACCTTACTGAATTTACTTACTAAAATTTTTCAGTTAATTATCTTGAATGTTTAGATGATCATAACCTGCATATAACTGTGTAATTTTCTGATTATTTTGTAGACTCAGTGCTTCATCTAATATTTCTATTAGATTATTGATTATAATCTATTAGATTATAGATTATCTATTATATTTATAATCTATGAGATTATAAATATTAATGTTGACTATTAGTAATGGTAAGGACTTTCCTGGTTTCCAAAGTTACTCTGTTAGGTACAGTGTTAGTTTCAGATGCTATTTTGTTAAAGTAATATTTTTCTTGTTTATTAACAGGCTTTTTTTTATATTGGGAGGTTTGTTGAATTTCATATAGTGCTTTTTCCTTGGAGGGAGGTAATTTATCTCCTTTGATACATTAATGAGATGTATTATGCAATGATACACTTTCAAATACTAAACTACTCTTTAATTCCTAAAATAAACTCTATACATAATGTATTATTTTTAGTATACTACTAAATTCAATGTGCTACTTTCTATTGGGTGGTTTTTATGTTAGTTTTTCCTTATGTTTAGTGTTTTTAGATTAGTTTTTAATTTGCTCACTTTATCAGCAAGTATTTTCTGTTTTCTTATTCATTGGACTCTGGCAAAAGAATGGTAAATAAAGTAAATGACCCTTGCTTCACAAGCTTTGTCATGTAGGAGATGGAAATGTTCTTTATACATGATTATCAATAAAGAGGTAGTAATTGCTATTATAAAAAGTGCAGTGGAAACGTAGTAGTGCCCTTGGAGCATGTGCCCGGGGTCTTATCTTAGTTCAAGAGATGGCAAATGGCTTTCTTAAGGAAGAAATAAAGGATAAGTAACAGGAGAACAGAGGCACTCGGGGAAAGAGGAGCTGCAAAAGTCAAGAGCTGGGGGATGGCATCTCTTCCTTTTGGGGAGGGAGGGTAACTAGGAGTCGAACTCAGGACCTCACGCTTGCCACTGAGCTAAATCCCTGGCCAGC